TAATAATTAGTGAACCTACAATCTCGATGATGCGGACAAAAGAAATTAATAAAAAGTTAAGAATAGGGATTGGTGAAATTATTTCAAGCTCAATATATGGTCAATAACTTCTTTTTTTTTACATATGATCAAGATTTTATTTGATAGTGCGTATAATAATTATATAAGCATAAAAAATTATTTCACTATTATAATAACTCAAGTTATTGAAGAATTCCAAAATTAATTTTAAATTATTATATTATACGCCTCTTTGAATGAAAGTTTAATGGGTTTGGACATAAACACATTATACCTTGAGCATCTGTTGAACGTTCATATGTAACGCATTGACAATGATGTCGACCGTTATAGCATTAGCGCGTTGTCAAGTTTTCCTAACAAAAATCATCATAATTGTTGAACAAATATCCAAAATCTCGCGAGATTTAACGCTATGCAAATATGAAACTATATCTAAACAAGTATCATTAATGACTTGGGTATGCAGATGTAATTTGCCACTCATCAACTCACTCATTCAAGCTCAACTCTAGAAAAATGGGAGTTCATATCTGTTTGACTAATTACTAATTAATACATTAACTTCAACAAGTTCATATCTCCATAAACCCCACACGGCCACACTCACAACCACAAACGCTATATATATATATATATTTATATTTATATTCCACAAAAAAATCTAATTTATGTGTTTAGGACATGTCTATACATTCTTGTAGCAAAAGCCTGAGGAAATAAATAACTATCATTTATAGATTTCTTATCAGTCTCACTTCAGCAGCGTCACACCGCTTCTAAGCCGAAAACGCCTTGTATTTGTTTTCCTCTGGGTGTAGCAGACAAGAAAGCAACACAGTTACCTATACTAATCAAGTGTGTTCATGTCATTTTTAGTCGATGACAATAAAGCAGAAAGAACCATCACATTTCCAAGTAAGTTGGTTTCTTGTGTTATCTTTCTCTTTATCTGCAACAAGCAAATAATGCCATTGTTTGGTTTCCCTTCATATACATGCAAACAATACTTTGGAGTTGTTATAGATTGTCATCATTGTATATAGATTTGGGGGGCAATTAGGTCGGCAAGGCCCATTTGTTACATGGTCTTTTACCTGAGGCGCAAGTATTCACCTCCTATACAAAGAATCAATTGTGTATCTCTTTGCCCACTTGACATATGGATTATGTACACTTAGCCGAAAAATTTGACGAAATTAGTGATCTGTCATCGCTGTTAATAAATATTCAACTTGTAAATGATGCTTCATTGTTTACAGTTAGGTTGGTTTCAGCCCCAATTCCAACTTCTTCAACTACGGAATAGGTTGAACTAATTGCTGCTGGAATCCAATCAAATTAGCACAACCCTTTTATTTAACCATCATTATTAAAACAAAAAACATAGTGCAACACAACCGCCACCTTCTGATTTTGATTGCAACTGATATAGGGATTAATGGAGACAAAATATTAGTCATTTTCTTTTTTCGTTAATAATTTTGTAACTCTCTTCTTAATTAAAATACAATTTTTTTTGAAATATTGACCGTCGGGTGTCTCTTCCAACTTGCCTCTTTCAATTTAAAATTTTAAAAGTTTGGTTAATAAATTATATTTACTCATAATTAAATAGTAAATTACTTAGAATAGTTTGTCAACACAATTTTTACTAATCATATCTTGTGAAAAGTGGTTTTGTCATGAATTTGGTTCACTGTTAAAAATCAAAAGCACACAATTTGAAGAAAAATACTGTCCAAAATTACCAAAATTTACTAATTCACATTAAGTGATCATACTTCTAATCGAAACTATGTTAAAGGGGACCGAAAATTATATTGAAAACTATACTAAGAAAATACAACAATCCATGTGTTCAATTAATTGAGCAATTAAAGTGATCAGACTACTAATTGGATGGATTAAAAAATACTCAATTCTCATAGTCACCTTCACCCCTCCTCCAAAAACTTTTTTTTGAATGTTGACAATCACGTGTCTCTTCAAACTCAACATCATGTTATCAAATTAGCATTATTAACAAAACTGCTGCTAATTAGGAGTAAACATTTTACTAATACTTTGTATTTCGAAAAAAAGTCTAATAACTTTAAACTTTTAAAAGTTTGGCTAAAAATTGTATTTAGTCATAATTTAATAGTAAATTAATTAAAATAGTTTTTCAACACAATTTTTATCAATCATATGTTGTGGAAAATGGATTTTTTCATAATTGTGGTTCACTATTAAAAATGAAAATACACAATTTGAAAAACTACTATACAAAATTACCAAATTTATTTTTAGGATTTCAGGATAAGTGATCAGACTTCTAATTGAAACTATGTTAAATGGGACCGAAAAATAGATTGAAAAATATACTAAGAAAATGCAATAATCCATGTGTTCAATTCGAGAGACAAAAAAACTTACTGTTGCCCTTAGTTGTTGATCATTGTATTTTGGATCAATGTTAAGCAGAAAATGTGCTTCAACGGTTTCTACAAATTTCGTGTTCATCATTTCCTTCAACAAATTGCTATTTTTACATCATACTCATATTCATTCTCTACATAGACAACATATGTATAATTCAATATTCCAATTTGTCATAACAATATAAACTTTGAACGATTGCAACCCGCTCAAGCAAATATCTCAAACCACATCAGAATAAATAACCAAAGTTAATCCGTGAATCTACTAAATCCAATTACATGAGGAGGGAAATGAGGGGTGGTACATGAATCATGACTCACTCACTAATTGTTGTCTTTTATACTTAATGGTGCATTTAAAAATATAATATCAAGTAAATCATCATACTAATTGGATGAATTGTTATCTTAACTATGAACATGAAGTAGGAAAACACAAACAGAAAACACAAAAGCCTCATTTCTCTTAGTCCCTACTTTGAACGATTGCAACCCGCTTAAGCAAATATCTCAAACCACATCAGAATAAATCACCAAAGCTAATCCGTGAATCTACTAAATCCAATTATATGAGGAGAGAAATGAGGGGTGGTACATGAATCATGACTCACTCACTAATTGTTGTCTTTTACACTTAATGGTGCATTTAAAGATATAATATCAAGTAAATCATCATACTAATTGGATGAATTGTTATTTTAACTATGAACATGAAGTAGGAAAACACAAACAGAAAACACAAAAGCATCATTTCTCTTAGTCCCTCCCCCCGGTGTCAAAAAAATGTAGGAGCCTACTTTAACCATCATGTTGAGCAAAATTCTATGAAAAATCTATAACATAACAAACACTTTCTTGACCATGTCATGACATAATTTATCTTTCACGACCTTGTTTGAGAAGAATCGGGAATTCATATAATTAATATTGAAAATCTTATGAAAGAAAGCATCACAATGACCTTTCAATAAACTAATGGTGTTTGTAGGCAAGGACAAAAGCTCATTTGAAAAGGAAAATACATATATGGTATATAGCATCTTGAAGACATGTTCCAATATCGACACTATAGCTCTATCAAAATAACGTCTATCTCATTTATAAGTTACTCTTTTCAATCATTATCACTCTCACTTATTTGAAAACCAACAAAGTATGGTATATCAAAATAGAAATTAAGAAATGTTTGGTTACGAAAAAAATAAAATACTTACACTCTTATAATTGAACTAAGAAATAACTTATGTCATTCATATTTAATTTCATATTTCATATAATCTTGACTCATATTGTACATCATTACCGCAAGATCAATCCCAAACTTACAACCAAAAAAGTTTAGTTAGATTATTTGACTAAGCATGGGGGTTGGTTGGTCATGAAAATAATTGGATATGAATAGGATGAAGGCACTAGTGAGAGAAGTAAAACGTCGATACTTTTCACATGACATTATCTCTATTTAAAAAAATATTATAGATGAACTGTTGTGTTGAAGCCTTTCAACTCATCTCATGCTCCACCTCTAATGGTACTTTATATTTCTCTCTTTTCTTTGGTCAACAAGGACCTTTCTTTCTTTTGATATAATTCGGAACACAGAAACAAAATACGCGTTGTTGCCCAATATACTTTTATGTGTAAGTTTCCCTAGCCTCGGGTATGAAAGATGCAATCCTCCTTGGCCATCAACTATTCTGTTGAAATCTTTCTCAAGAGGTTCAAATTAGTCAGACAAAGCACACAGTAAACTACAATCGTATGAAATAATTTTCTCGCGTTGCACTACACACAAATTGTCTATGATGAATAGTGTACATGCTATTTATATAATATAGAGAGGCACCTCTGAGAACATATGATCCACTTTATTTAAGCAAACAACTACTCTTAGAAGATTAATTATTTGCAGCATAGTTTTCCCACTCTCGATCTTCCGTCGCGAAACATATCAATGAGAATGAGAACCAACTAAAAGTGGAAATAATGTTCCGCTTCCATGGCCCCTATACCAAAGTATATCATGACTTGTCAAAGCCTCGAAAAACACTTCCTCTGTTCGAACGATTCCAAAGCTGCTCTGCAGTTTCAAAGTAAGTAATTTTGGATACTTAAATGTAGATATCACCCAAATTCGTAAACAGGATACTCAATATCTTTACTTTAATTATTGTTGACACTTTAGTAAAATATTATGTTAGGATGTGAAACCTTACGGTTATATTAAAAAATGGGCTTAATTGCAAGTTTGGTCACTCGAATTGCTACAAAATTTCATGTTTGGTCACTCGAATTGATTTATTCTATTCGTAGTCACTTAAATTAGTTGACCAGTCCAACTTTGGTCACTCTCTGTTAACCTCCGTCAAACTCCGTTAGTACCGTCAGTTAACTGCTGACGTGGCTAACAGAGGTGCTTAGTCATCCTATTTTAACAAAAAAAAAAACATGCCACATCATTAACCCCTCCATATTTTAAAAGTCCACCCAACCCCAATCAACCCCTGACCCGAACCGAACCCTTGAACCGACCCATTCACCTGTTCCCCCTCTTCTTCACCCCTCTTCTTCCCCAATCGTGTGCTCCTCTCCGATCACCGGCTTCCTCGTCACCTCCTCTCCATCCTCCTCCGCCGCCTCAACCGCCTTCTCCTCCGCCGTCGAATCCCGCAAAAGCGGTTCGTCAATCGCGCCCTGCACCCGCTCAATGTCGGCTTCGGCCGCGGCGATTCTCAATCCGTTGACCAATTTGTGGACCGGTACGGCTAGCGGCGACGCGAGGAGGACGAGGAGAGTGATTCCGAACCCTAGGGAGAGTCCTCTGGTCGGATTGGGGGTGAAATCGTAGGCCAGTAGGAGGAACGCGACTACCACAGCGACGACATTGAATGCGGAGGAGTATTTCCCCTCTTCCTTCTCCTCCGCCAAAGTAGTGGCCGGCGGGATTTCGCGGAGGAAGAAGACGGCGGCGAGGCAGACGAAGAAGGGGACTAAGGCCAGCATGAGGAGGAAAGTCGCCGGATCGTCGGAGAAGAAGGCGGAGCAGAGATCTGTGAAGATTGCGGTCGACAACCCGACGAATCCTTTCAAGATCCCGGAGACCGGCCCGCGGTTGCGGCGGAAGTTGCGGATGCAGGTGACGAGCACCGAGGTATTCATCCAGGTCGTGTTGTTGCCGCCGAGGCAGAGGGAGACGCACATCTGCTAGTATGGTAGAGGACTGATCCGGCCGTTGACGACGAGCCACTGGACGCCGTAGCCGATGAGGCCTTCGATTGAGCCGATTAGGAGGAGGACTGGAGTGGAGAATCGGTCGGAGGCGAGGCCGACGAGGAGGCCGAATGCCTTGCCGACTTCTTTAGCGACGGGGGGTCTGGGATTTCGGTGAAAATTAGGCGGTCTGGGAGATTGAATGGGGTCGGAGCTGGGGAAGAAGAGGGGGAAAGGAGAGGGGGAACAGGTGAATGGGTCGGTTCAGGGGTTCGGTTCGGGTCAGGGGTTGATTGGGTTTGGGTGGACTTTTAAAATATGGAGGGGTTAATGATGTGGCATGTTTTTTTTTTTTTGTTAAAATAGGATGACTAAACACCTCTGTTAGCCACGTCAGCAGTTAACTGACGGTACTAACGGAGTTTGACGGAGGTTAACGGAGAGTGACCAAAGTTGGACTGGTCAACTAATTTAAGTGACTACAAATGGAATAAATCAATTCGAGTGACCAAACATGAAATTTTGTAGCAATTCGAGTGACCAAACTTGCAATTAAGCCTTAAAAAATGTCACGTTCTGGATACACGAAATGGAAAGAACTTGAAAGGTCTACATGAGGGGACAAAACGGAGTTAGAAAAGCTTGCTCCCGGTTCTTAATGTCTTAAATTCTTATCAAGAACCCAACATATACTATTAATCGAAGGCATGTGATAAATCTCCTGATATCTAATCATTTGTTGTTTACCCAAGAAATTTCTTGAAATTAAAAAAGAAAATATTTCAAAGATATACAAAGGCCATGTCTATCATCATCTCATTTTCCACCTCCAGATTTGGCTGCATCTGGTTTAAAACTTGGACATACAAATCTAGCAACCTTTTATATACCCTTAACTACAAACATGTAACCCCATTATACACTGACATATATAGTAGTTTTTCATATAGAACGGAACATTAGATAAGACTTCAAAATTATCGACTCTCTATTGATAAATCTTTCGTCTTTGAACTCACGAACCTTTTTCGCAATTTCAGTTAACAACTGAACAATCCTTTCTCGACAAGATTGACTACAGGCAAGCTCAGCAAGTATAAGATGACTGATTATAAAACTTACTTAGGAGTGTTTGGTTAACGGTCCATTTGCATTTAGATTGCAGTGCTTGAAAGAAGATGTTTTTTACTTTGTCTATGACTGGTGAGCCCGATTATTCATATAAAAGCACACTTTATGTACCATATCACTTTTTTGACAACATCCTACATCACGAAATGGATAAGATCAAAACAGCCTCAAACACACATAAAAAATCAACAAAATTAAATATTAGAGACTAGTACGAAGATGCGGAAATGCATAGATACAGTTACTATGAGTCTTCAGATTGTGGAGGGTGGTCTGGCGCACGGCGGTCGCCCGGCTCAGCTGCTCGTCCAGCTCCGCTATCCCGATTGTGGCAGCGGTGTTCTTGTTCAGCTTCGAGACGTCGCTCTCGATGGGAAGGCCGGGGCTCCAGTTGACGTCCCTCCACGTCTCCTGATTCCAATCTGCCATTTCTGAAGCTTAAGTGCGAGAGAGACTCTGTGGGAAGTGAACAGAGAGCCACTTTGTCTTCTGTTGGATGAGTTGGAGGTGGTAGAAGTTGGAGATGTGTGGGGTGTGTATATATATATATGGGAGCAGAGTAATGTTTGTCGTTTGTAATCGTATACAATAGTCAGACAGAGCTATGAGTTCGATATGATTACAGCAGCAAGCAGCAGCAGGAACCTACGGTACGGCATTCATGAGCCTTAGCTCTGCCCTGCCGTTGAAGATGCAATAATGTCCCTTGGAGTAGCTCCTTGTTCCCGCTCAAGCAAATATCTTAAATCACATCAGAATAAATCACCAAAGCTAATCCGTGAACCTACTAAATCCAATTATATGAGGAGGGCAATGAGGGGTGGTACATGAATCATGACTCACTCACTAATTGTTGTCTTTTACACTTAATGGTGCATTTAAAGATATAATATCAAGTAAATCATCATACTAATTGGATGAATTGTTATTTTAACTATGAACCATGAAGTAGGAAAACAGAAAAAGAAAACACAAAAGACTCATTTCCCTTAGTCACTCCCCTCCCCCTGTCAAAAAAATGCAGGAGCCTACCTTAACCATCATGTTGAGTAAAATTTTATGAAAAATCGATAACATAGCAAACACTTGCTTGACCATGTCATGACATAGTTTATCTTTCACGACCTTTTTTGAGAAGAATCGGAAATTCATATAATTAATATTGAAAATCTTATGAAAGAAAGCATCACAATGACCTTTCAATAAACTAATGGTGTTTGTAGGCAAGAACAAAAGCTCATTTAAAAAAGAAAATACATATATGGTATATATCATCTTGAAGACATGTTCCAATATTGACACTATAGCTCTATCAAAATAACGTTTATCTCATTTATAAGCTACTCTTTTCAATCATTATCACTCTCACTTATTTGAAACCCAACCAAGTATGGTACATCAAAATAGAAATTAAGAAATGTTTGGTCACGAAAAACAATAAAAATATTTAAACTCTTATAATTGAACTAAGAAATACCTTATGTCATTCATCTTTAATTTCATATTTCATATCATCTTGACTCATATTGCACAGCACTACTGCAAGATCAATCTCAAACTTACAACAAAAAAAGTTTAGTTAGATCTTTTGACCAAGGATGGGGTTGGTTGGTCATGAAAATAATTGGATGTGAATAGGATGAAGGCACTAGTAAGAGAAGTAAAACGTGGATACTTTTCACATGAAATTATCTCTATTGAAAAAAATATTATGGATGAACTGTTGTGTTAAAGCCTTTCAGCTCATCTCGTGCTCCGCCTCTAATGGTGCTATATATTTCTCTTTTTTCTTTGGTCAACAAGGACCTTTCTTTCTTTTGATAAAGGTCGGAACACCGAACAAAATACGCGTTGCTGTCCCAATATACTTTTATGTGTAAGTTGCCCTGGCCTCCGTTATGAAAGATGCAATCCTTTTTGGCCATGAAATGTTGTGTTGAAATCTTTCTCAACAGGTTCAAGTTAGTCAGGCAAAGCACGCAGTAAACTACAATCATATGAAATAATTTTCTCGCTTTGCACTACGCACAAATTGTATATGATGAATAGTGCACCTGCTATTATATAATATAGAGAGGCACTCTGAGAACATATTATCCACTTTATTTAAGCAAACAACTACTCCTAGAAGATTAATTATTTGCAGAATAGTTTTCCCACTCATCGATCTTCCGTCTCGAAACATATCAATGAGAATGAGAATCAACTAAAAGTGGAAACAATGTACCACTTCCATGACCCCAATACCAAAGTATATCATGACTTGTAAAAGTAAGTAATTTTGGATATTTAAATGTAGATATCACCCAAATAGACTCAATGTCTTTACTTTAAATTATTGTTGACACTTTAGTAAAATATTATGTTAGGATGTGAAACCTTACGATTATATTTGGAAATGTCACGTTCTGGATTCACGAAATGGAAAGAACTTAAAAGGTCTACATGAGGGGACAAAATGGAGTTAGAAAAGCTTGATCCCGGTTCTTAACGTCTTACATTCTTATCAAGAACCCAACGTATACTACTAATCGAAGGCATGTGATAAATCTCCTGATATCTAATCATCTGTTGTTTTCCCAAGAAATTCCTTGATATTAAAAAAGAAAAAATATTTCAAAAATATACCAAGGCCATGTCTATCATCATCTCATTTATTCATTTCCCACCTCCAGATTTGGCTGCATCTAGTTTAAGACTTGGACATACAAATCTAGCAACCTTTTATATACCCTTAACTACAAGCATGTAACCCCATAATACACTGACATATATAGTAGTTTTCCATATAGAACGGAACATTAGATAAGACTTCAAAATTATCGACTCTCTATTGATAAATCTTTTGTCTTTGAACTCGCGAACCTTTTTCGCGATCTCAGTTAACAACTGAACAATCATTTCTCGACAAGATTGACTATAGACAAGCTCATCAACTCTAAGTTGACTGATTATAAAACTCACTTAGGAGTGTTTGGTTAACGGTCCATTTGCATTTAGATTCCAGTGTTTGAAAGAAGATGTTTTCTACTTTGTCTATGACTGGTGAGCCCGATTGCTCATATAAAATCACACTTTATGTACCAAAGCACTTTTTTGACAACATCCTACATCGCGAAATGGATAAGATCAAATCAGCCTCAAACACACACAAAAAATCAACAAAAACAAATATTAGAGACTAGTACGAAGATGCGGAAGTGCATAGATACAGTTACTATGAGCCTTAAAAAACCACCGGTGGAAGATCAAAACAAAGTGTAAAGTCCAAACGTAATTTGTTTCTCAATAATTCACCATAATATTCTCCACTTCAGTTAATTTTTCCCGCATTAAACTTCTAAAATCTAGAGCCACTACATTAATAACAAAAACAATCCAAGATCACTCATGGTTTTCTCTCATTGTTAATTTCAAAAAATAAATAATAAACTTGAACATGCAATAACAATATATGTGTTCATTGGTAGAGTTCATGGAGTGGATCCAAAACATTCCATGAATTTTTTTAATCATGACAATAAAATCATCAACCATTATACCTGACAAATAGGAGTACATAGAGAGAAGAGTGACAATGGGTTGATCTTTGGAGCTCATGCGCAGGATAAGTACCCAAGTAAGAATTGATGGAGGATAGTTCATCAAGTCTTATAAGAAAGTCGCTAAAGGGTATGTTATCAAACTTAAGCAAATAATCTACCAATAGGAAAGTTATGTTATCAATGACCACATAAAACTTAAACGAACTTTAGTAACAAGGGTGAAAGAACAAACCTCGATAACTTGCATTCCTGGTTCATTTCACTTGTCAAAAAACCCTAATGTTAAAATCTTATGTAGTTTTAAGATGATGAGCCAACAAAAGACTAATCTAAGTTATAAAAAATAAAAAATTATGAATCTACAATTTTTGTATTTAAAATTTTGCGGTTATACAAAACAAATCGAAAACAAAATACATGCAATGAGAAAAAACTTATGCATTGAAAACTATATTTGTGAATCAAGAAACTCAATTATTCTTCTTTTATTCTATAATATAATTATATTGACTATTGAAAGTGTGAAACTATATCACTTTTTTAAAAAATGTAATTTGTTTCCTAGGAAGAGAGAAAAAAATGAGAATTGGAATACTTTTTTGGGAGGAGGAGTTGGAGAAAATATTTGGTATTTCTCTTTTAATAAGTTGAAACCATAATGGAAAAAAAGAAAGAAACTCAAGTAAACTCATTTCCCTTTCTCGAAACCCCCCCCCCCCCCCACCCCCCACGCGCCGGACCCCCTCCGGAAAAATGTGGAGTGACCTACTTGTATAATATGAACTTATACAAGTAGGCATAATATCAAAAGCATTGAAACTTTTGCATTGTCAAAACAAACCAATCTGTTCACCAAAGCCAAGTACTCTCTATGAAATATCAATGAAAATCATTAATAATAGGAAAGACAAAGCAATACAAAGTCTATTAGAAATAAAAGTAACAGTGAGCTCAACTCATCATGAAAGGAGTCATCATTACCAACCCATCATTAGCAACACATTCAATCAAGTCCCAACGACATACAAGATAAACAAGATATAGTTTTCTATGTATGTTTTTCTCATACAACCTATCAACTGTCTATTCTCGTATATAAATTGAGCTTTTATACATCAATAAAACTCAAACATGTTAGCGAAGTTTTTAAAATGCCATTAAGACATGAAACACTACCGTTGGATCAAACTCCAACCCAAAAATGGCATCCCTTCAAAAAAAAAATAAACATCTCTCAGTATGTGGAAGGAAAAGAAAAACAGAGAATTGGTAAAGAAGATAAACCCCACTTGAGTATCATGATTGGAAGTGAACGTTGGATCAAACTCCAACCCAAAAATGGCGTCCCTGCAAAAAAAATAAACGCCTCTCGATATGTGGAAGGGAAAGAAAAACAGGAAATTGGTAAAGAAGATAAACCCCACTTGAATATCAAGATTGGAAGTGAATTATTTCTGTGGGCATTGACAATCTAAGGGAAACAAATAGTTTTTCATCAACCACAAACCAAATAAACATAAGGAAGATAAAATGGAGTGGGTAGAGAGAAAATCATTGACTGAGTTCGACATGGGGTGAGGGCGTTGTTATGAGAAAGAGATGCGCTTCTGTTGTACAAAAAAAATCATCTTTGAGTACAAATCATGTCAAGTCTTTCGTGCCCTCCAATTCATTTTTTGGTAGTCGACTTTATGAGAAGGGGAAAGAAGGAAAAAGAAACCTTAGGAAAGTCAGAAAGAATGGAGTTCTCTTGAAAACTTACCACGGTCAATCTCAGCAGTAGGAGAGTCTGGAATTGCTGGAATCACTTCATCTTCGTCAATATGAAACAAGGAATATGTAGGATTAGTTTCATTATTCATGGAGGCATCTATCAGTGCTAGT